CCCCAGCCAGCTGGGGAAGTCCACCCCAGAAGTCCACCCATCTTAAAGTTGCTGAGGTTGAGGAACCCTGCCCTAAACCCAAGTTCCAAATACATAATTGCCCTATTCACATACTATATGATGTCCAAACAAACCATAATATGCCTTGGCAGGATGTCCTGCTTTATACTGCCTGCAAAGCCAGTGCCTGCTTTCACACAATATACTTACTCACTCTCATGTTAGACACCCATCTTAAACTTGCCAAGTTTAAGCACAAACCCTGTGCTAGGGTGGGGTAGGAATGCTAGATCTGGGCTGCAATACGCTACACGGCCACTAGATGGCAGGAAAGAATATTGCGTTTTTGCCTTCACACCTCGTAGCCCGCAATCTCCTTTGGCTCCTTAAAGGTGTTAACTCTTAAGACTGATGAATGAAATCTCTGTAGTTTTCTTATTCATCCACCCTTCTGTTTCCTGCTGGGAACTTCCAGCAGCACTTTTTCCTCTCCCTTCCCCCTTTTCACGAAAAGAGTGGCTGGAGAAGTAAGAAAAATTCTGTAGTTCATCATCTCGCACTTTCTTTGCAACGATCAGTTTGGGCAATCGCCGTTCTCTTTCACGAATGCCCCCCAAAGCGTGATTTTTTTTTTTCTCTCTCGAAGCAAATCGCCTGCTTTTCAGAGAGCAAACAGCTGAGTTCACACAACACGCGTTTCACTCGTTTGCCCGGTTTTGGCAGGTTACCCCCCCCCCAAAAAAAACCTGGGTTGTGAAAAAAACCAAAAAATGCTCCTAAGCAATGTAATGTACCTCAACGAGGTCTGTTTGTAACGTGAAAGCAAACGGATCTCCCAGGGGTGCAAACTCCGTCCAATTCCCTCGCTGCTCCTTTGTCTAAAACTCCCCTACCCCGTGGACCCAGAATTTCAAACGAGAAGGAAGCCCCGTGTCCCGCTTCGCCACCCGTATCTCGCGTTTTCTCCTGATCTTGTCCCAAGGGATAAAGTCTCCCACGTCCTCTCCCTAGATTTCCGGTTGCGGAGTTTTCGATACGCAGCAGACGCCCGGGGGAAAGTAAGGAGGCGAAAGCGGTTTGCTCGGGGTGGGTTGAGCGCTCCCTGCAGTGCAGACGGGAAACCGTGGTCGATACGGAGCGCGTTATTCAGGGAAAGCTGAATAACCAGGCAGGACGGTTTTGCAGAATCCTTCGTTTCACGTTTTGCTGCTCGGCTGCTAACAGGCAAACACCCCACAGCAAGGAAGGGGATGTGCTGGCTCCCGTTCAGCAGGCGTGAAATCTAGGCTTCCCGGCTGTGGGTTTCATTGGGTTGCCCATCCTTCTGCCCCGCAAGGATGAGCTGCGATAGGGAGCCGGAACTCGAGGCGCTTCCAGTCGCTCGGTCTCTACAAGCCCCGCCTCCCCGCCCAGCTTTAGGGAGGACGCGCTTTTCGGGCCACAATGTCTTGGGCGCCGGGCGGGGAGGACTACATCCCCCAGCGTGCCGCGGGCGGCGGCG